CGGCCACTGCACTCCGGTCTGGGCGACAGAGTGAGACTCCAACTCAAAAAAAAAAAATTTATTGTAGAGATGAGGTCTGGCCAAGTTGCTCAGACTGGTCTCAAACCCCTGGGATCAGGCAGTCCTCTCGTCTCTGCCTCCCAAAGTGCTTAGATTGCAGTCATGAGCCACCATGTCTGGCTGCAAAACTTTTAATTTATATTTGCCATGCCCACAAAAATTAGTAAGATTTTATTGTACATTATGTATTTGCTGCCTATGCTTTAAATTTAAAAAATACAAAAAAACCATTCTCTAGAGAAAAATGTTAAGATTTTCTCTTTAAAGCAATTATCACAGTGCTGTGTTCAATTATATGAAAGTCTCATACTGGTGGTTATATACATGTAAAGCCTTCTCTGCCCCTGCTAAAAAGTACAGACTCCAACAGAGTAAGTTAAAGAAGGCATGACGGAGCTGGGCTCGGTGGCTCAGCCTGTAATCTTGCGCTTTGGGAGGCCGAGGTGAGTGGACTGCCTGAGCCCGGGGGTTCGAGACCCACCTGGGCAACTTGGCGAGACCTCACCTCTACAATAAATCAAAAACTAGCCAGGTGTGGTAGCACGCGCCTATAGTTCCGGCTACTTGGAAGGCTGAGGCGAAAGGATTGTCGGAGCCCAGCAGGTCAAGGCTGCGGTGGCCGGGAACATGCCCTAGCACTCCAGTCTGGGCGACAGAGTGAGACTCTAACTCAAAATAAAAATAAAAATAATAAAGAATGCATGACATCATGAAGTCTTAAGACAATTGAAACTAGATACAGGTCCATAATTGTCAAACTCACCGACTGATAACTGACTTCATCAAAACTAGCTCGGGAACTTTTTAAAAAATAGACACTTGGAATAACATATTCTTCCCAATATTCAAAACTAGAATTCAGGGTAGTAGGACCAGGGTTAGCTCCCAAGTGTTTCTAGCACACACTAGAACCACTTGATCTAGAGACGAGCTCTATTTTAAAATTAACCAGACACCCCATCTTGCAAGACCACCATTAAAGACTCACTTCTACTGCACTCCATGTCTCTGTGTCCATCCTTTGATTTTGGACAGGAGAGTTCATTTCTCAGGAGATGACAAACTTTTTCTTATGCATCAGCTTTATGCATCAGTTTTATCAACTGCAATCACCATGTACTATTTTTTCTAATTAAGTCATTTCAGTAGAGATTTTTTAAAGAATAAAGTGACCACTCAAACAAGGCAAAAATAAATAAAATTAACCAGAAGTACCACAGCACAACTAATTTAAAAATATGCACAAAGACCCAATTCAGTTTGAGGATCCAATTCCACCTAGTCACCGAGGTTGACACAGGACCAAAGGCAGGTGGCTCACTATAGCAATTGATAACAGCATCATAACATCTATCTCATTTCCCTGGTCTACCAAGTCAGTTCTAATTTGATTCAATTAGACTCCACGGAACAAGAGCAGTGAGGGTGCATGCTATTTCTACCATATCTATTAGGTCCCAAACATTTGTACCACTCGTGTATCTATATATTACTAAAATAAAAATATCAGGTAACACTATACTTATACTTAATTATATAGGATGCACTCAGTTTCTATTCCACATTGAATTAGAGGAGGAGTTGGTTGGTCGTTAATATGGTCCTGAACCGTCAAACAGTTGTAATCCACAATCTAAAAACAGATCTAGTTCAAAGTCTCCCCCCTTCATAGTTAAGAAAATATACCATAGGTAAGCCTGAAAATACTCCACTGAACCATCTCAAATCTTTTGTGTGACTTTTCATTTACCAAATTCCTACCAATCACTTACAATATGACCCCAAAAGACCTCCTATCCGTAGGCTCACATTCTCTTGTAGCAGATAGCTTCCAACAATCATACAACGGGGCAACCAAACCACACTGCCAATCTAATAGGTCCCACAAAGAAAGTGACCCACACTGTCTTTTGTGGTGTAAAATTTTCAAGATCAGATAGATCATTCATTATATATCCAATCAATTGGATGTCAAAATTCGTAACACAGGAATGAACATTTTAGCCATAGGTAACCAAGAGGACAAATAGAGGAAATATGGTTGGGAAAAGGGCAGACATATACTAAAAAAGTAATAAAACTATTTTAAAGTTCTCAATTGTAGCAAACAATTTTTTTGAGTTGGAGACTCACTCTGTCTCCCAGACTGGAGTGCAAGCTCACGGCCACTGCAGCCTTGACCTGCTGCTGGGTTCAGGTGATCCCTTCACCTCAGCCCTCCAAGTAGCTGGAACCAAAGGCGTGTGCCACCATGCCCGGCTAATTTTTTGATTTATTGTAGAGACAAGATCTCACCATGTTTCCCAGGCTGGTCTCAAACTCTGAACTCAGGCAATCCTCTTGCCTCTACCTCCCAAAGTGCTGGGATTATAGACATGAGCCACCACACCCGGCTATAGCAAATAATGTAAATTAGGCTGCTTATAGGTAAGAATCACAATGAGCAGCATTATTAATTAAACAATTTAATCCCCAAAGCTAATGAATTTTGCTAAATACTTGTACATTAGAACCTTTTCTGCTAATAAACACTACGTCAAAATTTGCAAGTAGTTATAAATTAAAAACCAAGATAAGCAACTCTTGAAAGCCAAGATAAGCAACTCTTTCATCATACAATTACCTCTGACCAAAGCATAAGAATTTACTTAGATAAAAAGCTTTCATAACATACCTAAAAATAGGACTCTTCATAAATTTTCAAAACTGTTCTTCCCTGCTGTGGACAGCTCTTGATCTTTGACTGTAAAACTTAGCAAACTTTGGCATGCTCTAATGTTAGTTTTATAAGTTACTGAAAACTCCTATAAATTTAGCATCATCTCTCAAATCTGTAGTGTTCTCATTCTGAATGCTTAAACATTTAGGTCACAAATTAAAATACCATAGAAAAATATTCATCTTTAGGCAGGTTGTGTAGTTACCACATGGCAAGAAACTGACAAAAAAATTTAAACATTCAGACACAAAAATACTTCAAAGCATCATGCATCATGGAACTTGAACTTAGCACACATTCTTACATTTTAGTAGTTCCAACTACAGAAAAATAAAACTGCCATAAGGAATGATACGATTTAAGCTAACTCAAATTTTTCCCGATTCCTGACATCAATATTATAGTTTTATTATAGTAACAAATAGTTGTTACAGTGAGATCTACACATATACAGAATTATTATATTTAAATGCATATAGAATATTTACATTCTTAAGTTATATTTTTGAAATCAGAGGATGGAGTATAGCTTAAGTTTTACAACAAAGAAAAACACACAAGACAAAAATAGACAGAATTAACAGTAAAAACACAACTATTCGTTCTTGACATAATATGTGGAAACTTTTTGTCAGAAAGCTACATCTTTTTAATCTGATTGTCCAAGTCATTAAAATATGGATGATTCAATGCCATTTTGCCAGAAATCCGCTTGGCGGGATCATAGACCAACATTTTCTGGGGGGGAAAAAGAAAAAGAGATATTTATTTAGGAAATAAATCATTTTTTAAAATCTCCATAGTCTTAACTTTTCTAACAGTAAATCAAAACTAATAACTTTAGTGAAAAACTACTAAATGGGCATTTCCATTAGTTTAACACCAAACCACATAGATGCTTTATCACTCACATTTCACCCTCTATCTCTAGAATAACCTACTCTGTAAATTAGTTATCTTGATAATCACTACTTGTTATAAATTACAGCTACTATAATTCAGAAAGCTTTAAAACCAAGACATAAATTTAGGAGAGATGTCTAGTTAATTATATTTACTTTGAAAATTAAATGACCATCTGAGTAATTTATAACATTCTTGAAATGGTGGCAATTAACTATAGCAGTTTCTGATGTAGCTTCCAACAAGCTCCAAAAAACAAAATAAAACAAAACAAAAAACCTCAGAGCACAATGTTTCATAAAGATAGCTAAAAAATGAGTCACTAAATGAATTATGGTCAGAGAACCTAGTATTAAAGTTAATTTACACACTACCAGAAAGGCAAAATAAAGAGTTTCATACTGGCTTGGCGCAGTGGCTCAAGCCTGTAATCCCAGCACTTTGGGAGGCCAAAGCAAGAGGACTGCCTGAGCCCAGGGGTTAGAGACTAGCCTGGGCAACTTGGTGAGACTTCGTCTCTACAATAAAAATCAAAAAATTAGCCGGATGAGGTAGCGTGCACCTGTAGTTCCAGGAACTTGGAAGGCTGAGGTGGAAGTCTTGCCTGAGCCCAGCAGGTCAACACTGGGGTGGCTGTGAGCGTGCCAATGCACTCCAGTCTAGGCAACAGAGTGAGACTCCAACTCGAAAAAAAATAGAGTTTAGTACTGACCTTAGGAAATACTAATCTTAAAGAAAACCAAATCAACATATGAAGTGCTTTGGACAAATCATGATACTTAATCCTTACAATAAAAAGTAGGTATCAGTGCCATCTTGTGAATAAGAACACTGAGGCTCAAAAATAACTTGCCCAAGTTCATAGAGCTAAGGAATGATAAAGCTCAAATTTGAAACCAAGTCTAATTTATTATTTACAATAATTGTTCTCAACTGGGGTAGACTTTGCCCATCAGGAGACATTTGGCAATGCCTGGAGACATTTTGGGTTGTCATAACTGGGGAGAGTGTGCTCCTGAGGGCAGAGGGCAGTGACAACGCAGATGACAGAGGCAATGCACAGGACCACACCAGTAACAAAGAATCATCCAGTCCAAGATGTCAATTGTGGTTAGACTGAGGAATCTCATTTACAGTATTTGATTTTGGGGAAATCTAGGCTCAATCGAGGTATAATGGTTTATAAACTATGAAAGAAACCCAAAAACCAATTAGAAAATCTATATGATGATATAGCAATAGCCTTGTCTTTCTTCGTTTAGACCTGCCAAAATCTTATTTGTTTCTGGCATCACATTACCGAGTATTTTTTTAAAAATGCTTCCTTCTAAAAACTAAAAATTTAAATACTGTTCTAAAATAAGCTTCCAAAAGGAGGTCCAGGACAATTATTTTTTATCTTGACAGTTTTTATGTTTTGTCTTGTTTTTAAAGCAAACAACTGTTAATGTGTTAGTCCCTCTAACCTTTCTGATGGAGAAACTAGGAACAAAAAAAGTTAGAAAGGAAGACCAATATAACTCAGCAACTTAAAAACAAAACACTAGACTCCTTCAGAATGTCCAGTTACCCGATTAAAAAAAAAAGCAAAACGAATGCTAAATCCTCCTTTCAAAATCACTGACATTTCCTGATATCTAAAATAAAGCTAGTAATACAATAGCCGTTAACAGACACCTATCTTAATGAATGTTGATTTTCTTCCTGTTTTCTAGGTAAAAGAAAGAACAGAACAGAGTTAGAATCAACATTAAAGTCAGTACAAAGTACACTACTTACCGAGAGCAAATCCAAGCCATTTTCATCCAAGTTTTTAACATGGGATGCTAGGCTTCCTGGTTTCCACTTGGGAAATGTATTCTTATAGTCCTGTAAAGATTCTACTTCTGGCCACACCTCATTATTGGGAGTGCCCAAAGCTCTAAAAACCATAGGAAAACAAAAATATTCTTAGTTAAGGCATAAATGCCCTCTCATTGTTACATTTGTCACCTTTATTATTTAACTTAAAAGTTGGTTTTGTTTTCTGACATTCAAACTATGCAAGTCCTGTATAAATAACTGGCATCCAGGTAGGAAGGAAAAGATAAGAGAAGAAAAAGATGTTACACGACTCATTATCAAAATTATTGGTACAGTCTATCCTAGCATTCTTAACCTACTGCATAAAATTGCCAGCAAGAAAAGTACATAAGATTTATGGCTAAATCAGCTCAGTGTCACAATTCCCATTGTAGCATTCTCAGAAGGATCCCAGCTGTAGAACATGCAGAAACTGCAGCCACATGTGAATGGTTCACTTCCTGGTTCATTCCAAGAAAATCTGTTAGAAAATCTGTTGAGTAGCAGATATGTCATTTTTATTAGCTTTCTTTTTGCACAGATAAGTGTCCTTACTCCTTTCCTCCTGTAAGGAGGGTCAGCTCTGAAGTCCTTGAAGATCTTTTCTTTTTTATCCTGTTGCTGGGGTGGATCTTCTGGTAGAGGGGAAGGTAATTTGGTTCCAGGGTCAAGCGTCAAGTTGCGAAGGTTCTTGACTAACATTTCTGAGAAGTTCTGAGAGGCCTCTGAATCAACCCGGGGCTTCTCTTCAGTGAGCATTTCTGAAGACTCTGTGATCAAGGTTGGGTTAAACTCTTATGATGGGCACATCAGTGGCTTAGTCACAGCTTCAAAGTCCTCCTCCGTCTCTGGGTCCCAGCAGAAAGCCGCGCTGGACTCTCCAATTGCTACAAGGCTGTAAGAACTCACAGCCCAGAAAGAACCTGAAAACCTTAACTCTAACAAACGGTGGTGAAAGAGCTGACAACTTATAAGTTTTTAACAGCTTAGGAATAAAACAAAAATACCTGAAAATCCTGAAGAGTTGATCAATTTCTGAATCCCCATGAAAAAGTGGTTTCTTAGTTGCTAATTCTGCAAATATGGTGCCTATACTCCAAATATCAACTGGAGTCGAGTAACGAGCTGACCCCAGCAAAACTTCTGGAGATCTGTACCAGAGTGTTACTACCTATTAAAAAGCAAATTTTTACTTAGAATGAATGTGATAAACTGAAACATTTATATTTTTCTAGAGCTATCCTGTAGATGCCTGTATAATCACCACCAATAATACTGCTTAAGACAGTTAAATACACAAATTAAAGGCAAATATTTCATTTCTAGATTCTAAAAAAAAAAACAGATAAAAGAATACATCTTTTTTTGCTTTTCAAAAAAAAGTGAGAAGGTCAAAACAGAGTCTTATTTCCTCTCCCCTCAAAAACCCAAAACTATTGATAATATATTTGGGGTAACATCAGACAAAGCACAGGTATTGCTTACATACTAAAATGGTATGTCACATTACCATTCTAACAATAAGAAATGAAAAAGAAATAAAGGGAATCCAAATTGGAAAGGAAGAAGTCAAACTGTCCCTGTGTGCAGAGATGATTTTTTTTTTTTTTTTTTTTTTTGAGTTGGAGTCTCACTCTGTCACCCAGACTGGAGTGCGAA